ACTTCGACAAGCCGAACAGACACTTCATCATCTTGGCTCAAGCAGGTTTATCCTCTTCCATCATTTGGAACTGTGAGTCTGAAAGCATGCTCGACCGGTAAATTTGTTATTTCAGAGCGATGCTGGAGGTGGGATTTGAAGGAGAAGCAGGTACTGGTTTCGGCCCCACACTTGAGTTCTACTCAACGGTTTCTCGAGAAATTCAAAAAGCATCGTTGCGGCTTTGGCACGGGACTGCTGTGGCCGCCGCACTGGATGGAAAAGGTATGCATAACGATTTCAAAAATCAGTCGTTTCAGAGTTTATTTTTTGTACAACAGAATCACTTTAGATGGATCGGTGGCAACTTACACAACAGCAAAAGCGGGCCTCTACCCAGCAGTCTGCTCGTCGCTCACAGCTAAGCAGAGGGATGCGCGTTTGAAGAAATTTGAATTTATTGGTCGCTTATTGGCCCAGGCTTTAATTGATGCACGCATGGTAAGCGTTTTTTATGCTCGTGACGGAATCACATTAATGAATTCAGGACAATATTTACTTACAACTGTGAAAAGGTGTGTAGGAGCACCGACAAGTCTTAAATGTTTTTGGAGGCGCGGGAAGTGGGGGGAAAGTAGCCAATCAAGAACGAAGCATGCTGGAGGCTGCAGTTGTAAATTTGTGCAGTACCATATGCTTAGTTGTAAAATGTTACAGCTATTAAAAGTTGCGTTGGTTCCTTCATATCTAAACAGAACGATTTTTGTGATTTTTGCAGCACAAATGCATCATTTTTTTAGCTCGATATACCACTGAATCCTGTATTTTTTAAATGGCTTTGTGGCGATGATAAAGTGTTTGGCCTGGATGATTTGGAAATATTTGATAAGTATCTGTATCAGTCGTTACGGGCACTCATTCTTACGGATCCGGATGACTTTAACTCTCTTGAGCAGGTTAGGTTATTTGTCGTAATCAAAGTAGCATAGTTTCATATCAGATCATGAGCAAAAGATTTTTTGTACTGTGTAACAGCAGTACAAAACGCATGTTGTCACGGGGTTGTCTGTGTATGTGTGTGTGTGTTTGTGTGTGTGTCCCACATTTTGTCCCGCACTTTCAACTCGAGAACC